AAAGAGCAGTGGAGAAATTATAAACAAAATGTGCTTTTTTCCCCCTCACTTTGTACTCTGTGACAGGTCTTCAGTTTCAGCACCCTGGACAGTTCATTATGTTTTATTATAAAAGGGGAATAAAAGAAGGGATTTAGGAGAAATAAAAATAAGCCAAAGAAGATGACAATTAATTGTTTTAAAAAGTGGGAATATTTAAAACGACACCTAACTTCAGCTTCAGACTGAGTGATGACACTCCAAATATCAGACTGTCCTGCTTACAATGACATGTAGCTATAAAGCTCAGGCTCAGATACTTTCATGCTCTACCCCCACCTCCCTACTCTCCAGAATTGGAGACATCGTTTTGAATGCCCCCTTCTTTTACTTTTTTTTTTTTCTTTTTTTGACCACCAATCACCTTCTTACAAAACCCCCTCTATTAGTATAAAGAAAAAAATATCTGATGCTCTTAATGTAATTACCGGGTCATTGAGGCTTACAAATTGAAAGTACAAATAAAACCAGTTATTTCATAAGCTGGGGCCTCACTTCACATGCAACCTCTAAGACATGACACGCACAGAAGATCAAACCAAAGTAAGGGGAAACAGTGCCCCCTGCTGAACCTGTGCTTTATGGTTTAGATTGTGTTCAAACTAAAAGTGGACAAAGAAAATCCATGAAAAATCCTAAAAAATAAAACATTTTAATATAAAATCCTTGTTTAATAAAAACAAATACAGACAGGTGTAACAAACGTTTTACAGATGATTGTTGGAAGCAAACAATCATCTGTAAAATAAAAAAAAATTGCAGCATCATGAGGGTGAACACAGCTTAAACATAAAATAAAACACAACATAATCTTTTCCAAGTCTAGCAAAATATATCAGTCTACCTTTTGCTCCCTCCTGACATCTATCTGCAGTTCACACTCAGCTCACCTGAGGAAATCAATATGAGCTCTTTGTTCCGAAAACAGAGAAGCAGGGTGGGGTTAATGAATTCTGACATTCTGGTACTGATCCATGTCTAACACCATGGACTTAACAAAAAGGATGCTCTAACAGAGCCTAAGCTCACACTTTTTTAGTAATTTACTTTAATGTTAAGTAGATACTCTCTACTAACCCTCATCATATAGTGTTTTACATTCTATATCTTCTCTAGCAGATAGATCGGCTGTGGAAAAAAGAAGGAAAACAAAACAGAATATTTCTAATACAAAAAAATTAACTGATATGTGGGGAAATCATTTGTTTTCCTTGTTTCTCCCACAACATGTTTAGGTATTTGAGCCAAAAAGTTAAAATCTTTTTCAAATTATGTGTATTTTTAAATTTCATCCTAAAAGAGAATTGTCCTATGGTTTGTGTTATCAACAATAGCTTTATTCTTGCTACTCTTACGCAAAGACTAAGGCCCCTATTCACTAAGAATCCTAATACTACAGGAAGATTTTACTGACGTTATTTTAGAAAAAAAATTACAATTTTACCTCATCAAGTTAATAATTACTCGTTTAGCATCTAGGTCTAAGAGAGCAGAGAGCAGGACTTGAGCCTAAGACTGTCAATCACAAATAAGCAGGGACGATGAAGGAGATCTGTTTGGCTGATCCAACCCCTAAACAGTTAAAATAGTTTATTTGCTAGTTTACTCTACTATCATACAATTATGATTATGGAACTAAGATAAACATAACAATTTTCACTAGAGGAAATTAATAGTCTCTGTGGTCAGATAAATTAAAGATACACCTCTAGTAATGTATTTTTTCTGATAAAACATAATAGGAAAACAAATTTTAAAAAAGCTACTAATAACCACAAAAACAAAATTAACTTGTTGCTTCATAATGTAATCAAAGTCCTCTTGATTCCTTAAAATAAGTTTATAATAGAAATACCATAAAGATAATTCTAATTTAAATTTACATTTAATAACCATCATCAGTTTTTATATTACTAGGGTTATAATATTAATTTTAATAAATCTTATGATATTCCACCCTCATTTCATGTTAATGATAAAAGGTTAAATCCTGTCTTTTTAATTATACACCAGAGGTTTCAGATACTTCGGCATTCATATTACTATGTAGCTAGTTATCTTATTTAATGAGAATTTTGCAGCTGTTATGGATATCATGAAATTGGATGCTCTAAATTGGAATAAACTACCTCTCCCATTATCAAACTAGTTGATGACTGAAAACAACTGTATTCTGATGTGATAATATTATTATATATTACGGGCATAAATTCCCTTGTCGGCCATGGTAGCTGCGCTACATGAGGATCTCACAGTACCTTTTAAAAAGCATTACTCTGCGCCTTTTCCTGAATCAGGCAAATATTTCCATTTGGCTTCTCCAGTCATCAGCAAATTATTTTTCAAACACTAGTTGTTAACTTTAGATTTACTGTTCTGTTTTTATTTTTTTTTTCGATTTTTGTTGGAATATTTATAATTCACCAATATATTTATTTCATTAAAGGGGAGATGAAGGGATAGGTACTGTTAATGTTATTTTTATTCTGGAAAATTATGATTATGCGATATAAAAAGTGGAAAAAGAAGAAATACAGTTTTTAAAAGTAGCATTCTTAATGTTTATGTCACTGAAACTGCTCCAAATCCAACCGATGGTATCCTTGTTTTCAGTATAATTGAGTTTAAACATTATCTGAGTTTGATTTATATTCTATCAATATAATTAAATCTAGTTAATATACAGCTTGCATTGTAACTTACCAGGGCAACAATCCTATAATAAAAATAACAAAAGAATAGCAGCAATTAACATAAACTAACTATTCAATAATGGATACATAAATCTACAATTATACAACAAATGCACCGAGCCAATCACTAGCCTAACATTTTGAAATATAAAAGCATTCCTCTACAGCATACATGGGTGCTCTTAAAAAGCTCTCACATTCTTGCTGAGTCTATATTTAGGGATCTGACTTTTAGATGGAGGACATATTAATCCAGTGTGAATAGAATTTGAGCCTGTCTCACTTTCTGTCCAACCGTTTTTTAATGTAGACTGAAGCAGAGAAACTCTGGGTTGAAGCTGTATTGAAATGAGAGTCTGCAAAATCCCTTAGATTTTTCCAAAAGAACATAAAAATTTTTACTAACAATAGCCAAACAAGAATAGGTCTTCTAAGAAAGGAGATTGCCATGGCGTCTGCTGGAGACCAAATGGAGGCTCAGTTCTCTCAGTGGAGTTAGCATATTCCAGTTTTTTTTTTTTTTTTCAGATTGACTATGGTGAGTAACAGCCGCCCTCTCCTGGCCCACAGTGGAATATGAATAACATTAGAGAAAACAGGCTGATTAAAGTCAAAAGCTGAACTAAATACTAGTTTTTTCTCTTCCCCATTTTCCAATCCTTAGCATGCAGGTTAGTATATACATGAGTGCATATAAAGCTTAAAGACAACAGATCTCTCCATCATACTGTACTGCCGTGGAGCCAGTGGGAATTAGTAGGTTGAATACTAAGCGAAAGACAGATAAATACATTGATGACAGAATCTGTGTGAAATCAGGGTTATTCTAAACTGGATCTAGGTGCTGGCTTTTACTGGACCATTTTTACACATGTATAGGAATGGATTTATACCATTTGATTGAGGCTCTAGCTACATGTTTAGGATAGTTGTTCTACTTGTATTCAATCTTCCCATCAACACTGACCACCTTTCCCACAGGCTGAAGAAAAGCCTCCCTTAGAGTGATGCTGTAAATACCATGTTTCACAGTAAAATTGGTGTGTTCAGAGTGATGGACAAATTTAGCTCTTCACAATACATGTTGCATAGCACTTAAGCCAAAATATTTATTCTTGATTATGACTTGTGGAAAACTGCAGAGGGGATCTACTTTTGACAGTGACTTTCGAAATAACACTGTGCCTTAAAGGGAAGATTTGAAGTACGGGACTAACATTTTTCTTGTTGACTGATCCTCCCACATGAGTTGTGAATCTCTAGAGCTCATTATTAGTTCCCAACGGACTTTTGGCTGCTTCGATGATTAATGCTCTCCCTTATCGACCAGACAATTTAGGTGAATAGCCATGTCTTAGTAGCTTTGCAGATGTTCCATTTCATGTGTAATATTGGATGATGGATTACACAGGGTTCTGTAAAATGTTCAAAGCTTGTTATAACCTGACTGTGTTAAACTTCTCCAAAACTATCCCTGACCTGTCTGCTGCATTCCTTAGCCCACATGAAAAATAATATTTTGTAGCAAAACTAAAAAATACCTGTTATATACACAAGTGGCCTACTGATCTGTGTATCAGTGTCTGAATGTGTGCGTTTGAGAATGTGATAATGGTCACATAACTAGGAAAGTGCTACATAAATTCAATCCTTTTACCATTTTAACATTTATAATACAAAACTGATAAGAAAATGTTTAACAGAACAAACAAAAATACAAATAAAATAATTTAGAAAATAATTAGAAGTTTATTTTCAGGAGAACTATGATAAGACATCATATACCATCCCTCTGAGTTGTTCTCCAGTCTTTTGTATACATAGCAGGGCCGGCTCCGTGAACGTCTTTATGCATGCATGCGTTTTTTCTGTACATGCATGGGAACAGCTGCCACTCTGGGCTAACCAGCATAGCTTGGCATAGGAGGAAAATGGCAGACGGTACACCCAGCAGACCAAAATGTTCACTTGAAGACAATCAGGACTCCAGTTTTACTCAGAGCTAGCTTTTTTCCCCATGTATTCTATGTAAGCGTCACTAACAGCAACTTGAGTGAGCTGTGACTTTTACAAGTGACAATTTTATGTGATCAAGCCTGGTAGAAAATAAAATTATAATATAGTGGTTTGTTTTGTTGTACAGATTAATGCTGAAAAATACTGAAAATTGGCTTGTTACTCTTTTAAGAAAACATTTTCCACATTTAAGAAAGAAAGTCACGGCTGGTTCATTTGAATGTAGCAGCAGCTCGTAACAGCTGCTCTTACCAGATTGATCATTCATCATGCGGATTGCTTTCGCTTTAGCCAACTCCAGCGCAGTAACCCATCTCTGCCGCTCCACTTCGGTGCTTGCCTTCAAGTGGTATGTTCGCCCGCCGCTGCTAAGAACAATGTTGCAGGCATCCTCAGTATCAATGTGTGCTGTGGCCAAGTTTATAGTTCCTCGACATGTATGGGCCATCTCTGCCTGTGTCCTACAACAAAAAAATTAACAAAAGGCAGGAGATGAATCCAAATATACCACAAAACTGAGTAGTGTTGAGAGTGAACAAGTTAAGGACAGCAGCTGTTGTTCAGTCTTTCAATCAAAAAGGCTGGGTCTGCAGCTAGTTTTACTACTGCTACTGAGCACAAGCAGTAAGGGGAAGAACAACTAAATAACAAAGCAACAATAAAACATCAGGTCATGTTACTAAACCAAGCATGAACCATGAGAAGGCGCACATTATGAATAATAAACTTGCATTAGTTTCTTTTGAACAAATTTTTTAGCTTTTCTTATAACAGGATCTCCCTCCTGCTGTTGAACTGTGGGAATCTGGATAGCCTCTGCTACACCAACTGTGCACAGTCAGTGGGCCTTTAGAAGTCTAGATAACAAGGCCATTGTGCAGCTTCAGGCCTCTTTGCTGACCACAATTGAACAATGAGAGTCCAGATAAAGAAAGGAGTGAGAGAGGAGGTGAACACCAGTGAACAATAACGGACCGGGAATGATAAGAATATTAACACAAAGTAATCAATACAAATATTGTTTGCACACGCTGCATTAGTTTTTGATGAAGACCGTACAATTCATTTTATATTTGAATCCTGACAACCAACAGAATCGAGAATTAAGAACCTTTATTGTCATTATGAAACCAGTAACTCAATTTAGTAGACTCCCAGCTTAGAAGGCATACAATACAAAGATAGAAAATAGAAAAACACCCTTAGGAGAAAAAATTAGAAAAAAAAAACGTATATTTAAAAAAACATGGAAACATTTGGAAAACTGGTAGAAATTATAAGACGTTATCAGAGGAAAAATGTGTTTATAGAAATTGAGCATAATGTAGTGTGTGCAGAGAGCAGCTAGTGGCAGTCTAGTCCATGGGATAACCTGATTGGAGGTGTATGTTTAAATTTTTTTCCACAGCTTCTCAGAGGAAGCTGTCAAGAAGTCTGTTTTGGACCTAATGTTCCAATATTGTTTTTCTGCCCTTAGTGGGACAGTCAGGGAATTGCATGGATGGGTGGGTTTGGAAATTCATGTGAGCTTTTTCTGGACTTGTGCAGTGTGAACGAAGTCCAGATCAGGTAGACAGGATCCCTGTGATGTTTTCACCTTGCAAGCTCAGTCCCTAATCCTGTGTCATGAAGCTCCCATACAAAACCATCACAGTGAGACAAGAGAGAGAGCAGTCTGCTTTGACTTCCTTAGAAAAATTAACCAACGTTGGGCTTTCCTTACCTAGTGGGAAGACCTCTGTATAGCAGCGGTCAAAGAAAAATAGTGAATACTGTCCAAAGTGCTCCAGAGAAGAGTGTGTACAGTCTTCCCTGGTCTCCTGTAATGTACTATGACCTTCTTAGGGACACTGGTTATCAGGATAAGACCTTTCTGTAGTTCGCCACATTGGTGTCCTCTGCAAATGTTCAAATCATGTTTTGTGAGGATAACAGAGCAGTTTCCGTTAAAGAAAGTAAAAAGTGGCTACCTTGGAGAATTCCAGCATTGAGGGTCAGTGGGGCAGATATAAACTTAACTTAGGCTAATATAGGGTCAATTAATAAAGAAGTCACTGATACAGTGGTAAACGGGTGCATAAACTTAGGTTGTAGATTTTCAGGTCCAGCATGTCCAGAGATTTGGTGCTGAAGGCTAAACTGAAGTCCACAAAATTCTCCTAAAAAAGGTGTTGAAAATAAGTCATGGCCGTGTGGAATGCTAACAAGAGCTGTTCAAAAATAAATAAATAACACTGTTCTGAGAAAACACTAAAACTCAAAATGATATTCTATCAGGGTGAGTCAATTTAAGCTACAGGGAAAATATGGAGCATGATGTTCCCTGGACATTTTCAAACCAATAAATTAAGCTTTCTGTTTGATCAAAAAGAAAATGCAAAAGGCTAATTACTTAATTAATTTCCAGGTACTCTATGCCGTCCATCTAAAACATTTAGCAGCAGCTGAAAAGTTTGCTTAAATTTTTTATGCATGTCTGAAAAGAAGAAGGTGAAGAAAGATCTCAACTGAAGCAAGAAGTGCATTAAATTTAAACTAAAAACAAGAACAATTTTAATCCTTTACTTGTGCAAATCATGTAAATTTCACTTAAACATAATTTTACTAAATGTTTCAAATATAAGAGTCTTAACAAAAAAGAACATTGCACTTAAATTGCTGCCTTAATGCATATAGAAACATTGCTACAGGTAAAATAATAACTACATTCTGAACACATACTAGAAGTTGCACTTCAGTTTAAAATTAAAACCATGGCTAAAAGAGGAGCAGAGATGTTCATTTTATTCTTATATTTAAATGTTTTGAGTCTTGTAGCCTGAAAAATAAAACATTTTAAACAGTTATTATGCCATCATAACGAAAGAGACCATCTGGCTTGTTATCAAACACTGAGGTAGAAAATAGAAAAAGAAGCCTTTGTGATTGTATGGGGATACATTTGTGTACACAGGATCAGGATCTGCACATCTGTGACATTAAAAGCTTATTATAAGATAAAACATGAAAAATTTTTTGTAAATCAATTATTGATCAAGCATGCAGCCGTGCCTTCATATGAAAGTATCTTTTTGACTCTAAGAAAAAGCAAATCTTCCAATAAAGGTTACTGCGGCTTTACTGAGTCAAAGGTTTAGGGTTTATTTATATAAAATCTGCCAGGCAGCAGCTTCTCTAAAGTCAAGTCTTGCTGTCATGCCAAATGAGAACAATCGTTTCAGTGTACCATTCCTCTGCTGGCACTCGGTGCACATCAGTTCCACAGACAAACACTGCACTGGGGCCATGCGTAGCAGAGCAGGGAACGCGCCAGACAGGGATCCTCAACAGTCTAGTTTGCAATTTCACCCAGCCCAGCTCTGCTATAAAGTCCTGAACGTTAACTGGGTCAGCAAAAGGGAATGTGCCGCTGATGAGTAAGATGAGACGCATGCTGATCGCTGCTGCCCTGTGGGGAGGCCAGGCCATGCAAAGGCCGCAAAGCTACGCAGTCAACAGAAAAGGTGTTTAACAACGATAAGGAAACATAGGGGGGTTAAGGCACTGGTAGGATGAGGAGGGGGAAAGTGAGATGGTAGAGTTGAGCTGCATGAGGGGTCCTGCATGATGCGCTGCATCAAGAGACCATTGCTGTGTTTTACCTGTCCGTCCCCTGTGCACACATCCTCATAAAACATAAATCCACCGATCTGGAGCATGTAACGACAGAACAAAAACCAGTGAACAACACAGGACACACAGCAGTGAGTGTGGAAACAGAAAAAAAAAGAGATCATGTGGATAAATAAGCTTGATAGGTTTTATTGTGATTGTAGGCTTTAATATTGGAAAGAAAATATCAGAAAGCCACCACTGACAGCTGGAGATAGGCAAAAGCACCCCTTGCGACCCCAGCAGGGAGAAGCATGACAGAAAATGGATGGATGGACGGACAGACGGACGGACGGATATCAGAAAACCACTGCATAACATATTGAATATATATATATATAACAAATATAAAGCTGAAAGAAGAAAAAAAACAGCAGTGATGGTCAGCTTTAGACAGCTTAGTAACTGGCAAGTTAAGAATGTAGCCAGAGTCCCTTTTTTGTCATCCCTTTGCTGCTTCTGCCACATAAAAACACAAAGACAACACAGACAGGCACCCAAACGCAGCCCCTTTGGCATGCACACCCTGTCGCCTGATGCTAAAACCAATTAATAGACCATTAACAAGATTAGATCAAAGCAGCAACATTGCTTGCTCCAGTCACTCCAGATGAAACGCCCGTCCTGCACACTGGATTTAAGCCAGGATGAAACCTTCAGCTGGGCCCTGAGGTTGGCTTGCTCAACCCTCTTCCTCCTGACTGACCCGGCAGTAACACCATAACCTGACTCTCCAAAAAAGGACCCAGGCTGTAGTGAGCACCAGGTGAGCACTTAAAATGATGCTATCTGGTTTCCCTCAAGGCACTGGAGCAAAACACGTTCAGCCAAGACTACTATGAAAGACAAGACCAGATGGTGTGATACTGCAGCTCCAATATTACCAAAAGTTTTAATGCTTTACAATGCTTGCCTAACGCAAATGTTGCTAAGTAATGAGGAAAGTATTAAATCTAGAAGTAAAGTTAATTAAGCATCTTTAAAAAAAATACTGTGAAGTTCTGAGAAAGCATACAGTCATATGTCTCCTTCAGCATAATGAGGCTCTTTGTGTGATTTAAAGTAACAGAAGGCATGACACAAAGCTGATGTGGAGAAAAGAACAGCCAGACTTGCGGGTTTTCAGAGCCAAAGTAATGCAGGAGTCAATACAAAATACATTTTAGATTCACTATTCAACTCATTACAATTAGCTTGCTCAACTGCTGAGTGTGTCGGCCCATTCACAGCCTCAGAGCATCGATTGGAGCGCAGGTTAAAGAGCCAAGCCAGTGCTTTGATAAAAACAGACTGCATGAGCCTAAATAACTTCTTAAGCTACTGACAGAATTTCAAAAGGTGTCCAAGACCCTGCTGAATAATTAGAAATATATACTTAAAAAAAAAAAGATCCCTGTCATTCATACAAATGATAAAACACAGCAGGCCTCACTAGTACCAGTTATTAACATCCAATAAGCTTTTATTTATAACATTTGGGCACATTGGAACTATAAACTTCAAGAAATGAAAATACTAATTGGTTGTCAAACAATCATGAAAAATAAATGCTGGAAAGTGTGTTGTTTATTTCTATTTATACTTAATTGAGGTTCATTAGAGAAAATTAGTAAATATACAGCATACTGTATAACATGGAACAAAACAGAAAGACAAGATACTGAGTTCTGGGGAAGTATAAAGCTGATTTGGTTCAAAACAAAAATCAAAATAAATACCCCAGTTTGTGGATACTGTTGAATCCATTATTTTTTTTAAATACAGAGTATTCTATCTAGAGATTGCCCACCACTGACATGCTCGGCAGGAAAAGCAGTTATAGGAGCCAGGGAGTAGCTCTGGATGGGCTGCAGGTTCACAGATGAAGGTGAGATGATTGGCAGCTAAGCAGTGAGGGCAATATATTTATTTGTTTAACTAGAGCCATGAAAAAAATTACCTTGTTGTAGTTTGTCACAAGCCATGCAGGAAAAACAGAAAAAAATACAGTGCTCTGGAGAAATACAAGTCAAATGGAACATCTTTAAGTCAACTCAGTGCTCAGATGTTGACAGGTCATCTTTTCTTCAACAGGGTTGGTCACCTTATAACATAATGGACCATTAAGGCTGGGAGAGGCAACAGGTGTCTTTCATTTCACAGGTCCTACAGGCAGGAGTCAAACTCTAAGCAAAATAACATGTTGATGACAACAAAACCACAATACAGCTGCTAAAGTAGCAAGAGTTGGAATGGAAATGGCCTTGATTAGACAGCTTCACAATACATAGACCGCATGTTTTATTTAGTAGCATGAAAAGAGTAAAAACTCTTGCGTTTCAGATCTATAGGCATATATTTGTAACAAACAGAGGTCAGATATAAACAATTGCAACAGTTTTTTTTTTTTTTTTTTTTTTTTAGAAAAAGCAATTGTTTTTAAAGTTTTTTGTGTTAATTTATCACCAAGGTCAAAATGCAATTACAAGATTTTGCAAATTAAACTTCCTGGTCACAGCCTTGACTAACAGACCAAGGTTACCTCCAATGAGCGACTTCTTCAATCTGCTGGGACCATTTAATTAGGGAATTGGGTGAGCCAGTTCAACAGCTGTTGTAGGACATATCAGTCTGTGTGGATGTAAATGTTCATTACATCGAAGTCTGTTCTTTCAGCCTTCATTCTAAACGCTTCAATACTAGGGTTCAAAAAATCAATCGGATCAAACATGATTGATCGATTGTTTAAAGAATCGTCTACTAATTCAGTAATCAATTAATCTTTAATCTGAGTATAGAGTCTAAAAACATACCTTTAGCTGAAAGAGGAGCCCACTCAAACCAGTTAGTACACCAGAAATGTAAAAAATACAGAAACATTTTGCACTGAAGATGAAAAACCCTTTTGCCCATTAACATGCTCTGTCCAGAAGTCGTTACAGGGTACAGCTTTAGCTTCACTTGGTTTAAATTCTGTGTAAAATCTTCTTTAAAGAAGGTTTAGCCTCCCGACTATTATTCGATTAATCAAAAAAAGAATCGACAGATTAATTGATCATCAAAATAGTCATTAGTTGCAGCCTAATTCAATACCTTCGATTTTATTTTAGTACATTGCACATTTAAGATCTACAGTATATGGTACAATGCTTTATAAGACAAACTACACAGGGTGACTGTAAGCTTTTTCAAATGTTGGCAGAACATTTTAGACTGTCAGCAGTAGGGGAATTAAACTCAGTTGTTCTGACTAGAACATCTTATCAACATATACCCCCATTCAACTGCTGTCATATTAAACTCAATTTTAATAGGAAAAACATGGGTGTTTTGTCCTGATAAATTGACTCCCTTAAATTTGAGATTATTTACCATCATCTCTCTGTGTTCATGTCCAACTAACATCTTCCTTTAAACATCAATACGCCACAGGTGTCTGAGTGGCTGTAGTATAAGTGATGTTAGGTAACAGGCAGAAACTGTTAGAAGGGAGTGAAGACAGACTGATAATGATATCAACCACATACGGTGATGTATCTCATTACAGTGAGTAAATGGAGTAGCCACTCTCATTTAATGGAGCTGAAGCGCTAAATAAATGAAACTTTAAAGTTATATGACTAAATGAAACATGCAACTGCTATCCTTCAGGTTGGAGCTGGTACTTGTATCAAATTCACTGTAGGCATGAGGAGGTCTGAGATTATCTCAAGATGAGAACTATTTGTATGATTTAAATGTAGTTTTTCTAGGTAACTTTTGTTAAACAATCACCTTTTTCTTTAACTTCAACTGTGAAAACTAAGCAGGGGAAATACTAAAAAAATCTGACCATTTCTATTAAAAGAAACAAATGTAATATCGCCAACTCTTTTAAAAAATTAACTAAAGTGTGTAGTATATTTGTACTATGTTGCAGTTCATAAATAATACATTAAAGCAAGATTACTGCAATAATGTTAGGCAGGAGTTTTTTTGTTTTTTTTTAGCAGACTGACGAGACTAGGGAGGGGCAGCAATGAACTCTCTTTCCTCCTTCCATCTTAGTTTACTCCAGTAGTTTTCCCAGCCTCTCATTTAAAGGCTTTTATATTATATGATGGAAAATTGTTGCTGTTAAAAACTACTTTTTATAAAAAAATAAAAAAAAAACTTTACTTTTTATAACCTCTAGATGTATCTTGATAACAGCTACCATTTCATGTCTAGTTGACTTTAAGTTGTTTTATATAATGTCTTTTGATGTTAACGTCAAACTCCTGGTTGCTAACTAGTAAAGATGAACCTTCGTTTCCAGTTCTCACATACAAAAATGTTAATCTCAGAGGGAATCTTTGTTGAATAAGAGTTAGAAAAAGACAAAGAATTTGCTCCAGCTGATCTTTGAAAATACATTTTATTACATAAATTGTGTCACTTGTCTTGTATTTTAAATCATGTTTTGATTGCTCTGCTCTCTCGTGATAAAGTATTTTGTAACGCAGTCCATATTGTATATTTACAGAGAAGTACAGCGAATTCACACAAATCTAAATTTTCTTTGAAAAATAGCCAAGTATTTGACCAGCTTTGCAATAAATCAGTCAATTAATAGAAATAACATTCCTGTAAAATGAAAACAAAAGCAGAAAAAAATATTAACAAATAACATATATTTCATATTTGACTGCACATAAAGAAGAAGACATTAAAACAATGGAACGTCTTTCCTTAAAAAAAACTGTATTCAACAAGTTATTCTAGCCAATGACAGGAGGCTAATGGGCTAGCTGAGTTGGCTAGCTAATGTCTGTATCTATGGTAACCTTATTTTTTCCTTCACTTCATTAAATTAGGGTGAGATACACATCACCGTGAGTGTTCCTGCTGGTGTTTTAGATTGTCCATAGTCTACGTTTATTTAAGCCGAGGGGAATAGACTGCTCTCTGCATCAGCTGGAAGTAAACAGAGCCTAACTGACAGCTAGCTTTAGCTGCTGCTAGCCAGCTGAGGGAACCAGCTGTCATGATGCGCCTACAGAAATATGACACTTTCTGCGCTTTTCTATTATCCCAACACTCAAACATACTACTTCAATAGATATATTACCTGTAATAGGAAAGCAGGCCGTTGCTTAGGACGAACCATCGCCTCTGGTACCCTTTCAGATAGTTAGTCCATTTAAAGAGCCAGCCTTTGTAGGTGTCCGACCCCGGAGCTGGGGCCGCGGTGGAGGCGGATGCCGAGCCCTTCCCTTGCTCGCTCATCCTCGGCTCCTCCGTACGCCAAGGAGGCGCAGGTTGATAAACCGGACCGAACCGGGAAGGTGACAGCGGAGACGGGGATACTACGCCACTGCGGCTGCCGGGGCGAGGACGTCCGAGCGGACGGGAAGGAGGGTTCGGTCTGCGGCGAGAGTAACCAGCGTGGAGCACTTTCACATGACTCCGGAGGAAGGACGAGGAGTGATGCCAAGACACTGTGCTGCTGATGCAGACTACTGCGGAGTCAGAGCTTGGCAGTACAGAAAATCATTTCCCTACAAGCTTTTCCTGCTGTAACCGAAAGAGAAGTTATCACCATGGTGACTGGTCCAAGCTGTAGAGGCAGAGCTTCGGAGAGGGAGCGGCCTTTGCTGCTTGCTGTCCGAGAAGCGATGCCTGAATGGGAGCAGCAGTTCCATCAGGTCCAGCCTGTGATTCACAGCTGCACCACGTGACTGTGTCATCTACACATTCCTAAACATCTGGGCATAGGCTGGCTCCTGATGTCAATCTGCTCAGGTGACCAAGCAGATGTATGCCTGTGTTTCATCGCGTCATACTGGGAAAAGTACAGTTTGTCTGCGCACTTTGCAACATTATGGTCAGGCATTCTCTGTTACGACGATTTAGTAATTAATTATACCAATTTAATAAATGTCTTTCTATCCTGCAAGTTTTGCGTTGCTGAAGGGGATGCTGCATGTAAGGGGAACTCTTCCTCATTAATGGAAGAGCAGAAGGAGATTAAAACAAGAGAGTTAGTTTAGTCTCTAAAACAGACATGGCTACGGCTTGATGCTAACATGTTTTATTACAAATTAAAGTTAGAATTCTGAGAAAAAAGTCATTCTGAGAATAAAGTCAGAGTTGTGACTTTTTTGTCATATTATACTGAAATAAAATGTAAAAATCAGTTAACCTTTTTTATTTTTTTAATCCTCTTCAGTATATTATTGTACTGTTAATGTCGGCCAGAGGTTTAATTGGACAGGCTTAACATATAATATAATTTTTTAGCTTTTTTTAATACATTTGAACAATAAAAAAAAAGTGTTTTGCTGAATGGGATATATGTTTGTGTGTGTGTGTGTGTGTGTGTGTGTGTGTGTGTGTGTGTGTGTGTGTGTGTGTGTGTGTGTGTGTGTGTGTGTGTGTGTGTGTGTGTGTGTGTGTGTGTGTGTGTGTGTGTGTGTGTGTGTGTGTAGGGAGAGAGAGAGAGCAAAAAGAATAGAGTAGGAAATCCCTTTATTCTCCCACAATGGGGAAATTCTGGTGTTTACAGCAGCAAAAACATTATACAGATCAAAGATGAGGACCTTAGAAAACTGTATAGCAATAAGATAATAGTAAAGGGTTAAAAAAAAATTTAATAAATAAGATACTGTAAAGGTGTTTTAACAATAGAAATATTGTGCACCTGGAGAATAAATAACTAATATACAGCTATGGAGATTTTTACAGTAATGGATATTTAAAAATAGCAGCAACATTAGAGATGTGCAAAATTACAGAAGCATGTTATTTTACTGACTAAGATAGAAACTGTACAAAATCAGCTCGAATGTAACAGCTTGTTTAGATTGTTGGGAACAGTGATGGTTATAAACTCATAGTTGCTGGGAGGAAGGATCGGTGATAACGCTCCCTGGTGCATTTAGGGTGCAGCATCCTGTCACTGAAGGAGCTCTCCAGCTCTGCAGCAGCTTCATACCTTTGGATTTCCGTAGATTTTCTTACCCCAAAAACACAAACAAGTTCAAGATAAAACATGTGTTCTCAAAAATACATACCGGTGATCCCTCTAGTGATTTGTAATTTGCACCATAACTACACAATTACTGGTGGAACAAGAAGCCTCTGGCATAATTCTTGCTGGTTACAGAAGATACAATGAGTGCGTTTTTAAAATGCAGTCATTGTTCTGTTGGAACATCCAGTTCTATCCAAATTTAAACCAGCTGACCAAATCGTTCCCATCTGATAAAAGACAATTCTGAGTGTTCAAAAACACCTCTAAAGCCACCAAAGCTCTAAAAAGATTTAAGCAGGAAGATACTGGAACATCCTGCTCACTTAACAAATGCCACTGCCACAGCAAAATGAATTTCAGAGACTGCTGATGTGCGGATCAAAAGTCAACACCATCAAGCATGTCTGTCCACGTATACAATCCAAATATCTCCTGGAGAAACTATTTGGTCACAAGTTTTAACAGGTTCCAAACAATGCTTTTAAACTGAACGCCTATTAATCAAGGAGGGAGGTGTTAGTCCCAGCCATAGTGGTGCATTTTACAAATTAGATGGAATAATAAAAAAGGTTGGAAATTACTCAAATGCTTTAACTTTAGTTCAAACCAGCAGTTCTCCTACCAAACTGTTTCTAAATATTTTCTTTTATTTGTTTTTTTAATAAATCCAGCTAAGGAAGACTAGTCTATGCACATAATTAACAGTGATATTCATAGCAATATTGAGAAAACTTTGGACTGCAACTGTGTATTACTGCATCAAAAACACGTAACCATCACACACATACTGTTTAGTGCACAAGAATATCAATTTGCAAAAAAGGAATGCAGCCAGCATATTCCCTACGATAACATGACCTAGGGTTATCTCTTCTGTGAATTAATTAAGAAAATCTGGTAAATGACAGTACAGTAACAAATATTTTAACTATGCAAATAAATATTTTGTAATTTCAATGAAAGATATACATATTACATATTACTGCTCAAATAGAGGTAACTGACGACCAACGTGGTTTAAAAACCAACAAGATTTAAAAAGAATGGCCAGATGGGAACCACTAATAATATGGTTAGTCTTTATCAACAAGATTAATAAATAACTTTTTTTTAAATCAATATCTATTAATTTTGTGATTTAAAAATACTAAGCATATTAGACTTTCTTGTCATTTTAAGCTAATCATGAAATGAAAACCTTTAAGCCTCCATTACAGCTCCAGGAACAGGTCATACTTTGCAGAAGCTCTTGTAAAATACCATGAAAACACATTTCAAAACTAAATAAGGTAAATGGTGGTTTAGTCTGCTTGACTAAAACAGTTGGACACACATTTTAAGTGGAAATGTACTAAATGTTCAGTGCCTTGTCTGTCATCCCTCTGGCTCCAGATAGCATCACTTTACCACAAGATGGCATTGTTGTTGTGGCCATTTTCTTTGGCACAATTGCTTTAAATGAGAAAATAATCCACACAAGATTGGTCTTCTCAAATGTATTTATTTATACCTCATGTGTCAAAACAAAGAAATAATAACCAAGTACCAACACCATAAAAATAAATAAAGACAAGGTTTCAGATTGAAAAAAAAACATAAAACAAACTGTAGCCCTTTTTATTCTGAAACACACACACACAATGGAAAGTCATGCTACACACAGTTGCTTTCTCTTATCTCTGCTACATATTTCTCCTTTTTTTGTACTACTACAAAAAATACAACCATCTGGCCCCACTGAGGGTTTAGCACTACATTTGGAGGAAATCATGAGCTTGTGCTCTCCGATGCAGCTGAAAAATGATCACATTCTTTGACTCAGCTGCTCACCATAAAACCAGGAAAACAAAAAATAACCGTTTTACACGAGATCACATTTTCACATCAGTGCAATTAAACCCTGACCTTTAAAATTTTACCAACATGAGCATGCAAGATGATTCCTCATTTAGTCATTCTTATATACAAATTGGTGAAATGTGTTCACAAAGTGTCAAATCGCCCTTCTCAACACAAACAAAAGTGACTCTCACAACAAAACAATTAGGATGTTTTGTTTTTTCAGATAGGGATGTTAAAGCTTTAGTGATCATCTATTTGCATCCTTGATGGTGCGTACTGTAGGAGCTACTGAGCTCTGTTTACTTTGATAGGATGCAGGTGTGCATTGCACATGGATTACAGCGATCGCAAAAGGCTTTTTAGATAGCATATATTGGTGGTAGATGGTAGATGGTTGGGGGCATTTCTACTGGGTTTTATTGCTCCATTCTAATCATAAGCTTCAACATCAGTTTCCCTATCTCGCTGTGTCTGTGCTTTACCTGCCTGAATGTCAGTTATCAAACCTGCCTCTCTGTGTCGGCTTGGCTTGCTCTGCCTTTCACACAAAGACGCAGGCAAACACATTGACACCTACCATAATGAGGGTGCCAGCATCCACTGTGGGCTAGCATTTCTAGACCTCATAAATCTGTCTGGACCAACAATTAAAGTACATTTAGCAGACACACATACACACGAACAACCATGATGCAAGTAAAGGTTCGTCATTTAGGCTTCTGCATGTCTCCAGACATTTCTACAGAATCATAGTCCAAAATGAGGGCAGAAGGTAGTTTAAATAATAAAGGACTGCAGCATGTTCTGCTGCAAGACAACCTTGAAACACCCTTGGTGGGGACAAACAACCTTTACCCTCGGCTGAGTCAGTAAAAGGGGGTAGGGAAAGAATGAATAATGTCTACTAATTTTTCAGGCTTTGCCCTATAGCACTAAATTACTGTGACTGACCCTAAAAAGAAGCACAATCTAATCACATCTATCCATGTCCACTTTAGAAAGTGTAAAAAGACTTTCCATAGGTTTCATTTATTGCAGCAAATCCCTTAAATCTATGGAGCCAATACATTATGATAATTCATTACACACAGAATGATATGTCTAAAATATTTTTGGGAGTTATTTTAGAGAATTGTAGCTTACATAAAAAAAAAAAAGTTAAAATTTGTTTTTCAATGAAATATGAGAACACCAACTAAAATTGTTGTTAATACAGAAATGTTTTGGTGTGGCCATTATACATTATACACTTTCATTAAAGCTGCACAGCAAATTCAACATGGAAAGACTCACAAAGAAGACAAGCAACAATTAGGGAGTTTTATTGCCATGAAAAATACAGACTTTGGCGCTCAGGTCCCAGTGGAAGACTTAGGCGTAGAGAATTATGTATGATATGCTTGAGCAAATGAATTAGGAAAGGAAGCCAGATGAAAACAGGGATGATGGTGGAGATGGGGTGGAGGAGGGTTGAAGCTTTGCTGGGGAGTAAGGGAGAACCATGGATGAACAGACTTAGAAAGCAGAGTACTGAATGATAATTGGGCACTGCTGAAGCATGGTGCAGGGCTGATAGGCTTGCAGCAGGAGGACTTCAGACGGTGATTGGATGAGAGGTGAAGCTGAATTAAGTCTCCCAGTTTGAATTTCTGCTAAGGCTTCGTTAGACATTTCCATCATCTACCAGGATAGGAGCCATACAAGGTAATTTGCTAAAAAAGCTAGCTGTTGGCAGAGTGCTGTCATCAAGTATATCACTGCAAAGATAAGTTAGTTCTGAAAACAGTGCAAATATAATAACTGTGACCTTAAGAAGATGGTAAAGCAAAGCCTATTTAAGGCTTCAAGAGATTTCTATGGCTTAGACTGACATTGTTCAGTCTGAAAAACTAAGTTTAGAGCCATTCATGTTTTAATTGACCAGCTTTATGGAGTTGCTGACTTCATCTATGAGCAGGACCTGAAGCCTGCCCACACTAAAAAACTGTACCAATACCTCCTTAAATGACCATTGGATCACTCTGACTCATTAGACAGTAAAATTACAACTGAAACTCGAAGGAGAAAAAACCGAGTACTGTCAATAGGAAGATAAGAGACAACACCAATGATGCCAACAAGCTGAAGGCTACAATTAAACAACCTGAACTTCAGTAAAACCTCAGTAGAACCGTAGTCCAATCACTTTGATGCCAAACTGCATTGATGCAGTAATCTGTTCAAAAGGAGCCCTAACCAGGAATTATGTGTATGTGGTACAGTATAGCACATAGGCCTACTTGTCATTTCTGTATTATAAATCTTCTTTTAATCACTCTTGCGTAATATTCAAACTTCCTGAAAAACAAAACAAAAGATTAAAATAGATCACTCTTTGTGTAATGAATCTTTATAATATACATGTTTCCCTTTTTGATTAAATCACTGAAATTATTAATCCTGTAATACCCACTGATTTGCTCCTGTGTTTTTGTTTTAATCTGTGTTAGTTTTTATTGTGGATCACTGGCCTCGTAATGTCTGTACTTGTGCATTTTCACCTTCCTGAATATGACAAAACCTAAAGGAAGACTTAATAATATTGCTGCCCCTCACGGTTTTGGGTCTTATGAGCTCAACTTCCACGCTTTCAGCTCCAGTTGCAGACCTGATGTTTGTAAGATGTTACATTCGGAGGCCCATCTTGAAAAGCTTTTACTTCAACCTGATGTGTGAAAATATAATTTTCTTGGATTTAAGTTGCTGTTGTTTCTATTTGCTTCCTCCTCTCTACACAACTGGCAGAATTAGACTAGGAAGTGGTTGGATGAGCTTGAGTGAAATTTCAGAGTCTTTTACAGCGCAGAGTCGAATAAACCTCTTTATGAAAAATCAGCTCAGTTAAGCAGGAGGCCACGGGGTATTTTTTTTTCCAGCCATTACGATAAAGAGTCCTTTTATCCAGTGTCTGCTCCACCAGAGACATAATCAGGGGTGGATGAAGCTCTAGGGGTCACATGACAGTGCATCTGTTCCTCTGTAGCGCCCCCTGCAGACGGATGGAGGTATGGTTCTGGCGCATCCCCCGTGCCACAGCAATGCCCAGCAGCTCCTTGAAGAGCAGGACCACATGCCAGTTAAACTTGGCAGAGCATTCCACGTAGCCACACTTCCAGGTCTTCTTCACCAGGACTGACACTGCCCTGCGGGGCATGAAGCGCTGCCTCTGCAGATCCCGCTTGTTACCCACCACAAGGATTGGCACCTCACTGCTGCTGCCTTCCCTGAAGGAAAATGTAAAGTGGGAAAAAAATAAGGAGGGGTTGGTTTTAAAAGGCACAGCCATCAGCTTGGTGTTTGTCAAAGTGCTTGTCACTGTGTAGTGAGTGTGTACGCGTCTTCTGAGGTGTGTGGGGGTGGATGGGAAGATTACAGCTCACACAGGCTGGAGGGGGCCTCGCTTTGCAGTAGACAGTTTACAGTATTACTGGGAATAAGAATGTATTGCAAGTAAAGAAACATATCTGGGTCTCAAGATACAGTTTTACTCAGAAGTTTATATTCATTCACCAGCAGCGTGGGTGTCATGTCAGCTTTGGACTTTAACTTATTTATTTGGGTAATCTTTAGGCTGGAATGGTTATACAACATAAAGCAACTTTAAAAACAAAATGTGGGCAACAAATTTGACACTGTTGAGGATTTTCTTTGATCTATAAGATTTAATACATGCATATAAACAAATTGCTATTGTTCCCTTGCAAATTGCAGGGAAACCTAACAGATTTCAATACCACAAGAAAGGTCCTAGAATATTTCTGGCTAAGTATTTCAGTATTTCTGTTACAACACATGGTGTAGTCCCTTTAAATTTATAGTTTTCTTTAACACAGACCTGGCTTTTAAAATGACAGCACAATCCCAAAGGTAAATCAGAAACGGCTCTGAAAATACATGAAGTAGGTTACAGTAATGGCAATGACCTCAATTTTAAGGAATTTTTACAGGTTGTGATTAAAAGTGTGTTCCATGTTAAGGGATGCATTAATTTTTGCATTTTCTTAGAACACTGGTCAAACACTGAGCCAGTATCATGCTTTCAGCTTGATACTGGCTACAAACAACAACAAACATTTTTTTTTCTCAGCTTTATGTTGTAAACCCCTAAACTCAGTCCTAAACCATGCTGAAACACGAGTATTTCTATTTTGTGCTTTTTAATCATAACAAGGTTGTAATTACACTTTAAAATTAAATACAAAAAAGGGACCATAAGGTTATTGTTTATTGTCAGGCAATCATGTCATCAACCCATGCTGTCAAAGGCAAAACAGCATTTTGTCTATAAGCATAATAGTTTTGATAGGTCTTCTTTACAGCAACCTTTAATCACTGTTGACGTATAAGATAGCAGGTTATTAAACCTTTATTTTGGAAAGAATAGTCAAGAAAAAAAAAAAAACTCCACTGAGCTAATAGCTGTCCAAAAAAAAAACTCTCATGCAAATTTGACAAGCAAATTAAAGCTCTTTGTGATGCTGTCATGATCTTATATAATCATGAAACAACATCTGTAAGATAAGCACTTAAAGATAAAAAAAAATAAAAATAGGAAAAAAAGTACTTTTCAATGCTACGAACTTTCCTGTTTAGACTTGGCAAGAAAGCGTCAAAAATAAGAAATTAAATTAGTATTTAACCCATCCCCTTGGGGAGCAGTGGGCTGCCATCGTGGGATGCCCAGGGAGCAGTGTGGGGTTAAGGGTCTTGCTCAGAAAGCCAGAGTGGCAGTCTGTGGGAGTGGGGCTCAGAACCTCAGGATTCCAAGCTCTATGCCCTAACCACTAGGCCGCCACTCCCTACAATGGTTAATGGTTCATTAACATTATAAACTCAACCAATAGTTCATTGTCACCTGATTTTACTACTATTTTTTTCGGGTCAGAAGTTGAAAAGTTTGGGAACAGCTGACAGGCTTAGTGGCTTCCAGTGGTACTAGGATCACGAGATCTCTTCGATACAGCACAGAGGAGGAGGCTCCACCATAATATGAAGTGAACAAGGGAAATATTGTGAAGAACCATGCCTTGTTCAGGGGAATAGTGTTCTTCTTCTTTTGGAGCAATGTTCCTACCAACCATCTTGGAATACTTGCACCAAGCTTGTCGCCTTTCTGACCTGTATGAGTTTAAATTCATCTTTATATAAAATGCCAACTCTATTCATCACGTTTTTGACATATTTCATGTCTAGTGGTGTAAAAGGCAAATAACTGCAAGCTTTCCCCACTCTTAAGATTTGGATCAGGGCTACATTATCACACAAAAAATAATAATTTGCTGATCCCTATCTCCAGCAGTCTATAGGCAAAAAGTGGGTTACACCTTGGATAAGTTGCTCGTCTAACTCAGGGCAGAGACATAAAAAAACATGCACACACATAAACCTTAGAGCAATGAGGGCAATGAAAGAGATGCCAATTAAAAAGGTCATGTTTTTGGAGTGTGGGAGGAAGCTGGAGTACCCTGGGACAGCCCACGCATAAACAAGGAGAACATGCAGAAACTCCATGCAGAAAACCACTTGGCTGGGAATCGACGCAGGACCTTCTTGCTGTAAGGCAACAGTTGTACAAACTGTGCAGCCCATATAAATCATTATTGGCCCAAAATTAATATTATTCCAGCCTAAGATATATTTTGTTACATTTCTGACTGGAGCTGGATGTACTTGTATGTTTTATCAAAGTACTTCTTGAAGAGGATCTAAGGAAGACATCAGCATCTGATAGGTGCTTCAGTAAACTTATGAGTTTATCAAATTTTAAAAATCCAAAACATTTAGCGATGTGTTAAATTTAATATTTAACTTTTATCCAATTCAAACAAAGGATTTGGATTATGAAACCATCTGAAGTATAGTGAAAATCCACTTAAAGCTGTTAATTCAGACCGTAATCCTTTGCTTAAATTACATCAAGGATGTAATTTAAGCAAGGCAAAGGCAAAAAAACCTGGGAGAGCTAATGCATTATTAATTTAGATTTTATTCTATTCATGAATAAAGATTTGTTTTGCTCCTAAATAATGCCAATCCCTAACTAAGATTTGCATACCTGTGCATATTTCCACACCTGTTTTCCCAGGCTGAAAGCTTGATGGAGGGCATTACATAAAGAGACAGATGCACATTTCATCCTTCAAGCCCTCAAGCAGCACTCAGTAATCTCTCATAAACCAAAAACTGCTTTCAAAATCAGTGATTTCTCAGAGGGACTAAAACAATTTACGTGAAATTGTTAGGATGCATGTCTCAATAAAAATCTGGTGGAAGAGGAGAGAATGCCAACAGAAACCTCAATGAACTAAAGAAATGTTTAATGCCAGAGGGCTGAAGAAAAAGGAGAGGAAACTGGAAGGTACTCTAGTTTTCAGCAGATATCTGTAGAACCTGATCATGTCAACCCAACATTTTGTTCTCTTGAAGCTGCCATCAACAGAGAGAAAACCCCTTTAAACCTCCATTATTCATGATCTCTGCACAGGGTTGTTCCCCACTAGACGCTTTACGAGTCTCTTTCATTCCAACATAGTATTTTCATCCTGTGACTACACATCTCCTGTTTGGGATTCCTCTTGCATTCACCTTTTCTGTTGCTAATAATGGGTTTCTGACTCCAGCCATAAACATGGAGGGGGGGATGGACTGTGTGTTGGCAGCTCAGTCATGTTCAACACAGCAAACAAATGAAGTCTCTTTCTACATGGAAATATATTCAGGTGTGGCAGTATTGTAGATAACAAAGCAGCTTTTTCACTGATCCTTTATGTTTAGAGCTTAAGCCTCGTACAAAGTCATGCCGGAGACTTTAGATCTGTATGATATCACCTTTGTTCTTTATACTTATTCACTTCATATCAAACTAAAAGTGAAATATTCCAAATCAATCGGCCTCGTGCAAGAACCGTTCGTACAAACAAATTTGCTCTCAATCGCTCGTAGTGATTCAGGAAAAAATGTTGCATTTATCATTTTCCTCCTATTTCCAAACTTCTTTAAAGTACAAACATTACAAGTGCTTAAGACTTGGCATAGGAGTATTGCGCAATCAGTCAGCTGTGTTTTTTATTAAAATAATACATTGTTTAACCTTGAAGCAATTGTACTTTTCTTTTTTTTGTGTTTATGGCACTAATGGCTCGGTTTTTTTTGGACAGAAAGCTGACAGGAAAGGGGGTATGAGATAGGGGGGAGAGACATGCGGCATGTGACCTGCGGCATGTGGCCTGCGTCGAGGACTAAGGCCTCCGTACATGTTTCATGCATGCTAACCACTGCGCCAAATGCACGCCCTGCAATTGTAAACTTTATTAGGATGAATCATTATATATCATCCAGCTCTGCAATCATAAAATACTTATTTATTTGCTGATGATAGAACTACACCTGCAGCTGGCATGTCAGAATCCAGGGGACACTGGTTTAATTTGTTGTCAGTTTATCAAAAGAAAGAACAGTCAGTGAGATCTATGTGAGATCAAGCTGCGATTGAAATAACATCTGGAAGAGAAAGTTCAGCAACATGGTAACACTTCATATCACTCCATGACAGCTTCTTGGCTGTGGAATGTTTGGGTTTGGGTCTGTCTGAATTAATCAAATTAGAGTTTCACCGTTAACATTTTTGTAATGCGTCATATGAGAGAGAGCAGGAGAAAGCGATGTATTGATGAAAGAACTGGTCTGGAGATGTACAGTACACATGTGCATGTGTATTAAAAGTACATTTAGCAGAATGTTTTGAGGTGTTGGTTGATGGTTTAGCATTTACATCACATGTTTTACCTCTAGCCTCCATCAGTAGTTTTCATTGACTTTTTTCCAATAAAAAAAATTTCTGTAAGTGGGAAAAAAACCTCAGTCAAGCTTAATGCATAGTGCAAGGACTTTTGATACTGTGGGATTTTAAATAAGAACCTAAATGCTTCCACAATGAAACAGATTCTGTTCAGTTTTGACATTCCTATTGTTTCAACAAAATGATCTAGAACATAAGTTAAACAAAATTCCATGGCACCTTGATTTAAATAGTTTGTATAGAGCTAAAGAGTTGATCAAATTATATTATTATTAATATTATTCTTATTTTCTCAATTTCATGTTTCCTTTTGTAACAGTGCAACCATGTTATTTACAGCTGTTGTAATTGAATTCCAACTCCTTTGCTTTTAATGATCTTTTAGTTCTGCTGCTCAGCTCTCAGTCATCAGATATTTGAACCCATAAAGTTTTCCTTCTTTGACTTCAATGCCATTTCTTCAGTATGAATGAACACCTTCTGACACAGGTGGGAATTTATAGCCCTCGCACTTATATGTAGCCTTATATGGCATTGTCAGGGTCATAATTATGCAGATTTGCAGTTCTCATGAACGCGCCCTCATGCATCACATGTATAAGGATATTTATGATAATTTATTCAAAATGACTGGTGCTTTGGTGACGCAGTGTTTCGTGCACATGGCCATGTACAGAGGCCTAAGTCCTTGACGTGGCTGACCCGGGTTCAAATCCGGCCTGTGGTCCTTTGCCGCATGTCTCTCCCCCCTCTCTCATACCCCCTTTCCTGTCAGCCTACTGTCCAAAAAAACAAGCCACTTCTTACACTTTCTGTAAGAAACGAAAAAAAAATTTCTGTTGAATCTGATGTGTCGGGTTCGTATAACCCACGTTTGGAGAAAAGGTAAGATAAATTTAAAACAAGAAGATGAAAATAATGTTGCATGAGACCATAAATTCCTAAAATGAATAATAATCATTGACGGTGCTCCCTTTGACAACATTCATGCAGCAGCATGAATGTCGTAACAAAGCCTCTCACTATTTAACCCTTTAAAGCCCGATCCAAGAATAAAACAAAACAGAAAATTACTTTTTTTTGGTTTGAAGTCCTTATTTGGCCTTTTAACAAAATACGTAAAAAGAAAAAACAAAAATAAATTTTTGATATTAATAATTTATTGCTATGCGATAAGTCAAGATTACTTTTTGTGTAGTCTTCTGCCCTCTGTTATCAGGTATATCTGATTGTGTACAATTGGATTTTGAGCAAAGTTTTTACTCTTAAATTATGCAAAAGGTGTCTGACGCAAAACATTTCAGAAACCGTATGTATCAAATATGATATATTTGGCATTACAGGGTTAAGGAGGATGATACCACCACAGAAAAAGTCAATGCAGCACAACTGTTGAATTACAAAGCTTTGTAGCTGTCAGGTTGCGTGGAGGTTTTTTTAGAGCACCCAAATACAGAGACAGAAGCTGAGGTGGTTTCTTGCAGATTTAATGACCAGAAGGTGGCAACAGAAGCAAAAATCCAAAAATAACAAAAAACAGACAACCAAAAACCAGAAGAGTTCAGGGAAAACACAGATGAGGAGCAAGGAAACGACGAGGAAGCCGCACCAAGAAACTGCTCGAGAGGAGTATATATGCCAAACAGAACAAAGACTGGGGTAATCAACTGATTGGGAGCAGGCGTGGACAGAATAATCTAGAAGGGAGCTAGAGAAAAGAGACTCACACAAGAGGGCAACATAGGGTAAACAAGGAATACATAACAACTCAAATACAATCAGAAAACAATACAAAAAGGAAATGAAACCAATAGAAAAACTAAAAAAGAAAACAGAACCAAAAAGTGAAAAACGGACAGTAGCCTGATTTTTATGTAATGGCCATGCTACTTTATGTAAGAGCAAGGAAGTAAAAAGGCTGAGCATTATATGTTTCATTTTTAGTAACAGAAGAGAGGTCACGTGTGAGCCAACCTGTTCTCCACTATCTGCTGTTTGATCATTTTGACGTATTCAAAGCTCTCCACACAACAGATGTCGTACACCAGGATGTAAGCGTTGGCGTTGCGGACGCCTCTGCAGCGCAGATCCAGCCATTCCTGAACGACAAAGAGAAAAACAGAAACAATTATTTTATTTTAGAAAAAGAAAGTTAGTTTCTACATCTTTATATATAAGAACATTTCTGCACAAATATTTTTTCAACTTGTTGAAACTTTTTCTTTAAAGCCTCCACAAAGAAGGAAGTCTGTGGAAGGTCTTAGAAGCATCCCACATCATCATGCTGTCAGTGCCATGTCTCTCAGTGGACGACATGTGTTTTTTAGCATGGACAGACATAATCCTTTGCATGTTGACCAAAACATTTCATTTCAGTGTCATGTGGCAAGAACACGGTCTTCAATATGCTTCCTTTGTCTGTTTAATAGTTTGTGGAAAATTTCAAACAGGGCATCCTATAAGTTTCCTCTTGCTACCCTTCCATAAAGGCCAAATTTGTGGAGTGTATAACCTATATATTTTCAGATATAACAACATATTCTCAGATTTAAGCTTTAGATCTCTGTAGCTCCTCCAGAGTTACTACTGGGTTCTTGGCTGCTTCTCAGGTTGACGGCCATGTTTCAATAAGGTTACAGACGTGCTTTTATTTTCAGGCGATGGGTTAAACAGTGATTCCATAATTATTTAATGCTTAGAAAGCTTTAATACCTTATTAAAAGCTTTGAACTTCTTGTTTAAAAAAATAAATTTTCCTCCTCTTTAAAATCATGCACTACTTCATTACCATGATATGAACTGCTGATAGATGTGGGTTTGAAAACTTAGAGTTGCACATCTGAACAAGCTGATCTGTAGCCTCAATCTAAAAAATGTTGAAATGGATCGGAAAGCGTTCTTCTTATTCTTGAAAAAAAAAACAGTGCATTATTGTTTGTTAGCTCCAAGCGTCCTCCGGGAATGCAGTTCACATACTTTTAGACCATAGCAATTATAGTGGGCAGACAACTGAACAGCATGTACTCCCTGTTCCTGTAATTTTCCCTGAGCACTTTGGCTCATATAACATTATGCCTCTGCTGTAGAGAATGTGTACAGTGAATAAATTCCTGGAGCTGACTCAACTTTTGGTGCTTTTCATTCCTGAAATAAAGCAATTTAGTGATCGCCCAGAAGAAATCACCACTCAGTCTCCTACTAACACCGATCAAGGACAATGAAAGAGGATAGACCACACAGATCACACAGAGTCTTTTAGCGGATGAAAAACAAACTCTTCTCACTGCTAGATCAGACTTTTAGTCATGATATTACATACATGATATCCTGTATTCGCAATCTTGTCCTTTCAGTCATTACCCTGGTCTCATGACCACAGATGAGGGTGGAAACGTAGATTGATCAGTAAATCTACAGCTTTGCCCCTGGATTCAGCTACCTTTTTACCACGACAGTCCGATACTGCAACCGCTTTACTGCCGACACCGCACAGATCTGTCTATCGATCTAAGGCTTAATCCGTCCCTCACTTGTGAACAAGATCCCGAGATACTTGAACTCCTCCACTTGAGACAAGGACTCTCCACTGATCTGAAGAAAGGATTCCACCATTCTCCGGTGGAGCACCATGGCCTCAGATTTGGAGGAGCTGATCCTCCTCGAGGCCACTTCATACTCGGCTACAAACCACCCCATTGCACGCCGAAGGTCCTGGTTTGATGAGTCCAACAGGACAGCATTATTTTCAAACAGCAGAGATGATTTCCTGAGGTTCCAGGACCGGACACCCTCCGGTCCCAGGCTGCGCCTAGATATTCTGTCCATAAATGTAATGAACAGAACCGGTGACAAAGGGCAGCCCTGGCTGAGACCAACATGCATCGGGAACAGGTCTGACTTACTGCCGGCAATGCGAACCAAGCTCCTGCTGCAGCCATATACAGAGGGCCCTGCACCCCATACTGCTGTAGCATCCCCCAGAGGGCACCACAAGGGACACGGTTGAACATCTTTTCCAGATCCACAAAACACATGTGGACTGGTTGGGCGAACTCCCACGAACACTCGAGCACCTCATGAAGGGTATAGAGCTGGTCCAGTGTGCCGTGACCAGGAAGAAAACTGCATTGTTCCTCCTGGATCCGAGGTTCGACTATCAGGCCGGATCCTCCTCTCCAGCACCCTTGAGTAGAATGGGGAGGCTGAGGATTGTGAAGCACCCCGCTTCAACCGCCACCCAGTCCTCCCTGCACCCGACCCCTATGGATTCCTCTGTGAGTGGTGGGTCCACAGGAGGTTGGGCCAACTTGGTCTATTCAGGCTGGGCCTGGCCATGGAAAAAGTGGCCCGGCCCCCAGGTGCTCGCATACGAACCCCAACCCTTCTTTTCATGGTTGCTTTATCTCTTACAAATGTGCTGTTAGACTGGTTTGACCGACAGGCAATGAATTAATAAATATTTGATATGATAAAAGAGAGATAGAGAAAGGAAAAACCTGAAGGAGAGGGGAAGTGAATCTGCTAAAGGAAAAACCATAAGATGAAAACAAGAAAAATGATGAGAAGATCAAAAGGCAGAAGGATCAAGGGATAAACAAAACAGGAAGTTACCATCATGCCAGGTGTTTTTTTTCTCTCATTGTTGTAACAGGAGCTTTGCTCTCTGACACCACAGTCAGATCAGATGAAAATGACTAATATTCATTTTGGGTTAACAGGTTGAGGATATAGTGGGAGCTAGCAAGAGAGCTAGGTGAGAGGAAAAAAAAAAAAAAAAGCTCAGCTACCATGATAAAATGTGAACTAGAAAGTGTTAAAATTTTATTATTGGCTGTTTTATTTAGCAGTGTGTATTACTGATGCTGGAATTCAGTTTGTTGGTTCAAATCCCAACCTGCATGATGAGGTCTGCTTGTTCTCTCTTTGAGACCACATGGGTCTGTCAAGCTCTCTCTCTCTGTCCAAAAACCTCCTTGCCAGGTTAACTAGCTTCTAAAAATTGCATTTAGTTGTGATTTTGAGGATGATTGGATGTTTGTCCTGCTGTGTCTCTGTGTTGCTCTCAGAGTGGTCGACCTGTGCAGAACACCCCCATCCCCTCTTCAATGGCTAATGGAAGCAGCCTCCAGGTCTTGTGTGATTATGTTTCAAGGATTTAGCAAACACAGAAAGTGGATGCATGGAATCCGTCACTAAATAAGTGTCCTGTTTTGGAGAAAATGTTTTAAAAAGTAAGAATTAAATAATATAGTTTCCACATTGAACATGCAATCTAACACTAAGTCCTGCTTTTTACAGGATAGTTCAACAAAATTGCTCAAAACTTATGGAAGGAAATCCATTACTGGTTGTGTTTTCTTCTGGAAAGAAGTCAAATATGGCAAGTTATTAATGGACAAAAAACAAAAAAACAAACAAACAAAAAAGCAAATAATTAACAGAGTATCATGTTGTTTCCTAAATTGAATTTTCACAAATGTTTTTCACAAAATCCATACCAGAAAAACAAGTTTCTTTTATTCTGTAAAAATCTCTAAAAACTGTTCATACAGCCCCTGCAATTAATCTTTAATATCCGAATATAGATTATTACAAACCCATAGTAACTCTGTTACCTAAGCACTCTGCTATGTTTATATTCTTGGTTAACATTCTGTTAAAATATAAAATTAGATAGATGTTGTACAGGTTTATCTGTTGCAATATAATGTACCTACAAAAACTTTATTTTGCACTTATTTTTCAGCCTTTTTCTATTTTGCATATCTTGTTATGGAGGCATTATGCTTTACTTAATATTCTTTTATTTTTCTTTACAAAAATTAAGGTGGCATTTTTATCTTTTCTGTTTGTCAGTATTTTTTTATTATTATATTGTTCATAAAACAACCTCGTTTTAAAACACTTTTCCTTCATAAAACACAATTTAAAAGGAGCTTTATCAGCCTTTTTATAAGAAATGCATTAACAATAAAAGAAAATGGGAAAACTCTTTATGGGTCCCTTGATGTTCTTTTTTGAAAGCTATACATTCTTCTTACTTCAAACCTCACTTTTATTTTTGGAGGCATTGGATATTTTGTGGATGTTTACAACAAAACAGGCTTAAATCGGAGGTAAGTGGACTTTCACTCTGAGTTCTGTAAAATCTGGTTGCTTCTGGTTTAAACCTGTCTTATGTTTTTCATGTTTTTAGCCCTTATTTGTTTAATCTGTCTCACATTTCTGGCACTCGTGGATCCTCATTTTCGCACACATCAAATTAAAAGCAGAGATCCCCTGATTGGCTGATCAGTGAAGAAGGAGAAATGATTAAGGAAAACCAACTCAGCACCTCATCACAAATAAGCTTTTTTTTTTAAACTAGAGTTTCAGCTAGAGCTGTCCTTTTTACTCTGACTAGTTTGATGTAAGGATGTGCAGCAAGAGGGTGTAGTTCCCTTATTCTTGGTGATAGATAATGTTTAGATAGATAATGTTTTGGGATGCACAATGCAAAAAGTGCTCACTGTGTCAAAAAAGTATATTTTCTTGGTTTTACAGTGTTTGTTTAAATCACATTCATAGTGAACTTACAGTAAGTCTTATATCTTTTTTGACAGTTAAATAATCTGTAAAATCTATCAAATTTCAATATTTAATTTTAGTACAATTATTCACAGGAAAATCATTTCTACTGTTTACAACCCCTCCTCTTTTTAAACCCTTTTTCTGATAGTATATCAGCACCTAATTTCTTTTCCTGAAACATTCCACTTGATTTGATTTGATTATACAGAGAGGAGCATCTTTCACCAATTCAACTTGAGAGGATCTCTCTAAATCTATCTAGGCTCCCCTCATTTGCTCAACTCATTAGCTCACTACACATAATTTAAATAAAGGTGCCATGGATTTTTTTTTTAAACTTATGTTCTGGATCATTTTGTTGAAAAAAGATCTGAAATGTCATAACTGAATAAAATCATCTTTCATCTTGGAAGCATTTCAATTCTTATTGAAAATCCCACAGTACCACAAGTCCTCCACTGTGCATAAAGCGGGACTGAGTTTTTTTTTTTTTTTTTTCCACTTACAGTTTATACTTTAACACTGCGTC